TTGGCCTGAGGCTGGGCCTGGCCCAAAGAAAGGGCTCATGCTTCGTGGCAGCCACTGGACGGACCTCCTCTCACCTCCTCCTCCCAGGAGCCTTCACACTTGATGCCTTTTCACAGGTGAGGAAGCAGGCCGAGCGAGGAGAGAGAGGACTCGCCTCAGGTCAGAGCCAGGCTTCGAACTCACTCTTTTTGCTTCCAGAGGCCTAGCTCTTGCCCCATCACGTGCCGACCCTAACGCTGATCATTCATGGCTGAAAGTTGTTTTTCTAGGGACGTTTTATTCACTGCCCTCCCCCCACACCCCCCTGAAGGATCCTTAGAGTGAATAGTCCTCTCTTTTTTCCTAGTTAAACAATGATCTTACTTGCTCGAGTGCGCAGACAAATTTATGCCATGAGGGCAGAGGCTGTGAGTGACTCATATTTCCAACTGGGGGAAGGGCTTGCTAGGTCTTAACAATTATTGAGCCAACCAGTAAATACGGCTCTTGGTCAGAATGAGTAGGGATTTAGGGGCGCCTGGGTGGCTCAGTCGGTTAAGCGTCCGACTTCAGCTCAGGTCATGATCTCACGGTTTGTGGCTTCGAGCCCCGCGTCGGCCTCTGTGCTGACAGCTCAGAGCCTGGAGCCTGCTTCGGATTCCGTGTCTCCCTCTCTCTCTACCCCTCTCCTGCTCATGCTCTCTCTCTCTCTCTCTCTCAAATAAATAAAACATTTAAAATTTTTTCAAAAAAGAATGAGTAGGAATTTAGCATCCTTATCCTTTCTGTTCCTCTCGAGACGCCTTCAGACAGCAACAGCCTTCTTAATTAAATGGTGGACATCCTCAGGTAGATCCAGAGCAAGTCCTTTGGACTTGGGAATTCTTGGGATGTTACTGACTGTCACAGAATGTACCTGGGCAGTGCCTCCTGAGTCTGTTGGGCTCACACCAATTTGTGAGGGAGCCAGGCCCGTCTTGGCCAGTGTGCGCATCTGCTCCTTCACATCCTTAGATGTCAGCCTCGGCCACATGGGGGCGCTGGGCCCTGAGGCGGAGCCCGCTGGGACGGGCCCTTCTCGGGACCCTGCATGTGCCCCACGGTGGCGGTGGTCAGGCAGCAAAAAAGAGCAGTAGTCCTCAGTTTCTCAAATCGGTTCGTCTCGTTTGGAAAATGAGCTTCTTGTAGACACCTCTGTGTGAACTTCTGGAGGAACAGGGCGTAGCACGTGACCTGTAAACCGTTGCTGACGCCATTTATATCCTTCTAGAAAGGCTTTCCCTGGGATTTCAAGTATGGGCAGGACAGTCCTCTTCAATTTTTTTTTTTTTTTTTAAATCATGCAGCGCTCTATGTGACTAAAACAGAAAAGTGTTTGCCCTGCACCTGCCCTTAATTCGGTATGACAGGTTGCTGTCATGGTTGGAGGCTTTGTTTGGACGGGATGTGAATGATTAAATTACTTCTGCATCATGTCCGTGAGTGGCTCGCCTGAGTTCCGGAGAGTGGTGGCAAGTGTGACTGCAGAACCAGAGGCTTGACTTCTGACCCCACCTCCTCTGCTCTGGCTGGGCCGGTCATTGACGGCTCTGGGTCTCCACCTTCCCTTCTGTGGCCTGGGGACGGAGGCGGCTCCTCAGAGGGCTGGCGTGAAGGCCAGGTTCTGCTCACTGTGTGTGTAAAATTGTCACCAAGCGTTTGGCTCATTAACGTCTGTTTCCACTTGCTGTAAAGAGCTTCTGAGCGCTAACTGAAGAGATCTGATGTTTTTTGGTTATGCATCAAGGCGTTTGGTTAATTCTACTGCTTTTTGTATCTGTGCTGTTTGTAGACTTGGTTGCTTGGCCCTAGAGGTGGTGTGTGTGTGTGTGTGTGTGTGTGTGTGTGTGTGTGTGTGTGTGTGTGTGTGCATGCATTATGCACTTGTTTCAGGGCTAAGGATAATGGTACTCAACAACCAGGGCTGCCCTTTATCGAGAACTTTCTCTGCACCAAGCCCCTCCTTGTTCCTTAGCGCTGTCTGGTCAGTACGGTTTCCCTTTTTGCACATGTGGACACGAAGCTCAGGGATTCTAAGTTCTGCCTGAAGCCACGGCTGGGTATTGGTGGTGAATTTGCTCCTGTACCTGTCTGCCTCCAGAGGCCACACTTAACCCAAGTAGCCTTTTCCCTCTAAAGCTGCACACCGGTTTAAGTATAGTCAAAAAGAGATTGGGCTGGCACAGAGTGGCGGAGTGGCCAGCCCCAGCCCCTTGCCGGCTGTGTGTTTGGGGGTAAGTCACTTTACCTTGAGCCTCAGTTACCCTATCTATAAAATGGGGGGGAGCCTTGCCACAGAGATTGTTACCGAGATAAAGTGACACAGTGTGTGTAAAGCACACACAGCAAATGGAAACGGGTGTCCACGTTCTGGGACATTTAACTTGGGGCTTGTCATTTTTGGCCTTGGCATATAGGTCACTAGACCATGGTCACCAGCTAAGACCTTACAGGGCATTCGTTACTAATTCTTGTTAAAATGCAGCATGCCTCAGAATCTTTCTTAACATACAGCTTTTGGTAGATTGTCTACGGAACTCAAGATCTGGGCATCCAGGTGCTAGATTTGAAGCTTCCAGTGCCTGGTGTCATGTTAGATTGCAGCCAAGTGCCCGAAACCGCATGTGATCAGATGTGGAATCGATGAAAAAGTGAGTCTGTTTTCTCGGTCTGGGCAGGCAGAAGTCGTTTTAGTATTTTAATGGAACCATTTTAAGTTAGAGTAGACAGTGATGTCATCTAATCTTGTCCATCCAGACGTACAGAACAGCCCCACCCACCTGCTTCTCCGTGCACTCTCTTCTCATAGCTTATGTAGTTTGAGGAAAGACATTTTCCTCTCCACTTTTTAGAAGCCTCTATAGGCTTCTCTAGCTGAGAGAAGAATCGTTTGCCAAATAATTTTACCAGTAACACCCTCCTTGGCAGCTGTTAATAAAATTCATTTAGCAGTTAATTGCTTTCCACTTGGGATACTGCTTCTGTTATCTGGAATGGGTGTTAAGTCTTAGGTTAACTATTCATTTGTTTGTCCTGTCTTACCAATTAGATTGTCTTCCCTTAAGTGAGGGTCCCGGGAGCCTCGTCTATAATAGGCAATCAGAAAGTATTGGTTCTTTTTTTTTTTTTTTTTT